GGTACTGAAGTCGATGGTTGTACTGGAGGGTGCATAAATTCTGTAATGGATTTCTGTTCTATTTTACCCTGCAGTACACTATACAACTGACAGTAAGGCATCAGCTGCTCTAGACACCATTTCAGGGTCCTCTTCAGTGAAAAAGTCTAACTTTAAGTCATTCAGTCAGTCAAGTCATTTAGTCAGTCATGTCACTCAGTCAGTCAGTAAGTCATTCAGTAAGTCAGTCAAGTCATCCAGTAAGTCAAGTCATTCAGTCAGTCATGTCACTCAGTCAGTCAGTAAATCATTCAGTAAGTCAGTGAGTCAATCAAACAAATTCATATTTACCTCATTTTATGTGCACAGTGACGATTCATTACGGCCACAGGTTATCTCTTGTCTAATATCTCTGTATTCTTCGTTATTCTAAGACATAAACACTTAAAAGCCTTTTCTTGCCACTTTCAGCAACACTTGTATAAATACTGGGTGCCATGATTGCTTGGCAGATTTAAGATATGGCAATTAAAATACGTATGTAAAGAAACACAGCGAGTTTCCCAAGTATCCTTCCAACATGTATGAACAAACTGAAGGCTGGAAGGGTGGTGTGGGGTGGGTTTAAATGGTGGCAGGGAATGGCAGTAGGTCTCCCCATTGATTTCAAATGGTGTAACCACCACCAATCCCGGGGGGTGACCACGTGATCAAAATTTTTTCCCCTCCCGTGAACTGTGTTAAATTAATTTTAAAAAAGTATTACATAAAAATTATCCCCACAATTCTTCAATCGTGCTATACATGAATCATGCCAAATAAACTCGTTTTAAATGGCGGTCTATTGTGTTACAGAAATTGGGCAAGATTTCGATGGGCTTTAGAACAAAGTAGTAAAAAATACGCATTCATTTTCTGCCGATGTTCAGAGTAAAAAAAACCCATCACGCGTCCAATACATGTCAACTGTGGGTCTATTATGCGTTCATGAATGTACTGATATTAGTTATACAATTATTATAATATTGCATAACAGTAACTCTTCTACTTTTTGTGTGGATAGAAATTATTTGTATGAATAAAAAATCAAAATGGAATTCATGTGTAAAGCCTGGAAATGTAACTAATGAACAAAGGAAATGTACTTTTATTGCCAAGAGTGCCTGCTTTGTTTATTTTGGACCCTATTCTGAAATTAATATATAATAAAATTTGTGTGAAATTGGCCAAATTACCAATTGCTGATCACTTCATTAGGTAGTTGAAATAGTTTACTGGGCAATTTCTTGTGCTCAATTGATAAAATGGAACACATACTAGCAAAATAGCTAAGAATTTAGTCTAATGGAACAATGTAATTGGCCGAAAATGGGACTCAAAGTGGGAAAAAATCGCTGATGTGTAAATATTGCTCACACAGCAAAATTCATGAGAGCATAATTTTGTCATTTTTTTATCAAATTTCATACTTTTTGCTTTATTACCTTCAGCTAAAGATTCTCTACATTTCCATAATAAAAAATAATAAAAAAAAAAATTTGAAAATTCTTAAATCCCGTGAGAAATTTTCAGATTGGGGGTCTGGACACTCAAGGGGTTAATAATAATAATAATAATAATAATAATAATGATGGAATGATGATGTAAAGAGAGTAGTAAAGGAGAAAAAGTTAGCATAAGAGAAGTTTTTACAAAGTAGAAAAATGATGCAAGGGGGAAGAGTATATGGGAGAAAAAGAGAGAAGTTTAAAAGAGTGGGGGAAGCAATGTAAAAAGAGAGCAAATGAGAGAGTGGGTGAGATGTTATCAACAAATTTTGTTGAAAATAAGAAAAAGTTTTGGAGTGAGATTAACAAGTTAAGAAAGCCTAGAGAACAAATGGATTTGTCAGTTAAAAATAGGAGAGGAGAGTTATTAATTGGAGAGTTAGAGGTATTTTGGGAGATGGAGGGAATATTTTGAGGGAAATTTTGGGAAAGTTGATGAAGATAGGGAGCTGTGATTTCGTGTATAGGCAAGGAGAATTAACATCTTGTAGGAATGAGGAAGAGTCAGTTGTGAGTGTGGAGGAAGTTCGTGAGGCAGTAGGTAAAATGAAAGGGGGTAAGGCAGCTGGGATTGATGGGATAAAGATAGAAATGTTAAAAGCAGGTGGGGATATAGTTTTGGAGTGGTTGGTGCTATTATTTAAAAAATGTTTGGAAGAGGGTAAGGTATCTAGGGATTGGCAGAGAGCATGCATAGTTCCTTTGTATAAAGGCAAAGGGGACAAAAGAGAGTGCAAAAATTATAGGGGGATAAGTCTGTTGAGTTCTCCATGGGGAAGTGGAACAGAATTCTTCCTCCGTAAGCTATGCGTGTTGTAAGAGGCGACTAAAATGCCGGGAGCAAGGGGCTAGTAACCCCTTCTCCCGTATAAATTACTAAATTTAAAAGAGAAACTTTTGTTTTTCTTTTTGGGCCACCCTGCCTTGGTGGGATATGGCCGGTGTGTTGAAAGAAAGAAAGAAAAGAAGTCTGTTGAGTATACCTGGTAAAGTGTATGGTAGAGTTATTATTGAAAGAATTAAGAGTAAGATGGAGAATAGGATAGCAGATGAACAAGGAGGCTTTAGGAAAGGTAGGGAGTGTGTGGACCAGGTGTTTACAGTGAAACATATAAGTGAACAGTATTAGATAAGGCTAAAGAGGTTTTTGTGGCATTTATGGATTTGGAAAAGGCATATGACAGGGTGGATAGGGGGGCAATGTGGCAGATGTATGGTATAGGAGGTAGGTTACTGAAAGCAGTGAAGAGTTTTTACGAGGATAGTGAGGCTCAAGTTAGGGTATGTAGGAAAGAGGGAGATTATTTCCCAGTAAAAGTAGGCCTTAGACAAGGATGTGTGATGTCACTGTGGTTGTACAATATATTTATAGATGGGGTTGTAAGAGAAGTAAATGCGAGGGTCTTGGCAAGAGGTGTGGAGTTAAAAGATAAAGAATCACACATAAAGTGGGAGTTGTCACAGTTGCTCTTTGCTGATGACACTGTGCTCTTGGGTGATTCTGAAGAGAAGTTGCAGAGGTTGGTGGATGAATTTGGTAGGGTATGCAAAAGAAGAAAACTGAAAGTGAATACAGGAAAGAGTAAGGTTATGAGGATAACAAAAAGATTAGGTGATGAAAGATTGGATATCAGATTGGGGGAGAGAGTATGGAGGAGGTGAATATATTCAGATATTTGGGAGTGGACGTTGTCAGCGGATGGGTCTATGAAAGATGAGGTGAATCACAGAATTGATGAGGGGAAAAGGGTGAGCGGTGCACTTAGGAGTCTGTGGAGACAAAGAACTTTGTCCTTGGAAGCAAAGAGGGGAATGTATGAGAGTATAGTTTTACCAACGCTCCTGTATGGGTGTGAAGCATGGGTGATGAATGTTGCAGCGAGGAGAAGGCTGGAGGCAGTGGAGATGTCATGTCTGAGGGCAATGTGTAGTGTGAATATAATGCAGAGAATTCGTAGGAGGAGGTGCAGGATTGCCAAACTGTTGTCCAGAGGGATGAGAAAGAGTTGTTGAGGTTGTTCGGACATGTAGAGAGAATGGAGCGAAACAGAATGACTTCAAGAGTGTATCAGTCTGTAGTGGAAGGAAGGCGGGGTAGGGGTCAGCCTAGGAAAGGTTGGAGGGAGGGAGTAAAGGAGGTTTTGTGTGCGAGGGGCTTGGACTTCCAGCAGGCATGCGTGAGCGTGTTTGATAGGAGTGAATGGAGACAAATGGTTTTTAATACTTGACATGCTGTTGGAGTGTGAGCAAAGTAACATTTATGAAGGGGTTCAGGGAAACCGGCAGGCCGGACTTGAGTCCTGGAGATGGGAAGTACAGTGCCTGCACTCTGAAGGAGGGGTGTTAATGTTGCAGTTTAAAAACCGTAGTGTAAACACCCTTCTGGCAAGACAGTAATGGAGTGAATGATGGTGAAAGCTTTTCTTTTTCGGGCCCCCCCTGCCTTGGTGGGAATCGGCCAGTGTGAAAATAATAATAATAATAATATTATTATTATTATTATTTTTTTTTTATTAACACACTGGCCGATTCCCACCAAGGCAGGGTGCCCCGAAAAAGAAAAACTTTCACCATCATTCACTCCATCACTGTCTTGCCAGAAGGGTGCTTCACACTACAGTTTTTAAACTGCAACATTAACACCCCTCCTTCAGAGTGCAGGCACTGTACTTCCCATCTCCAGGACTCAAGTCCGGCCTGCCGGTTTCCCTGAACCCCTTCATAAATGTTACTTTGCTCACACTCCAACAGCATGTCAAGTATTAAAAACCATTTGTCTCCATTCACTCCTATCAAACACGCTCACGCATGCCTGCTGGAAGTCCAAGCCCCTCGCACACAAAACCTCCTTTACTCCCTCCCTCCAACCTTTCCTAGGCTGACCCCTACCCCGCCTTCCTTCCACTACAGACTGATACACTCTTGAAGTCATTCTGTTTCGCTCCATTCTCTCTACATGTCCAAACCACCTCAACAATAAAAAATAATAATTTTTTCTTTTAACACACTGGTCACCTCCCAGCAAAGCAGGGTGACCCAAAAAAATGAAACACTTTCATAAGTTTTTCTTCTTTCTACATTTATTAATTTATACAGGAGAAGGGCTTACCAGGCCCTTGCTCCTCATTATTATTATTATTATTATTATTATTTTATTATTATTATTATTATTATATTATTATTATTATTATTATTATTATTATTATATTTAATAATTTTATCTTAGGAAATCTTGATTATATTATATTTAGTATTCAGTTGGTTTTTTTTATTATACAACTGCATAATGTTGAGCAATTTTAAGTTTAGCTTGAGTCTAAATGAAAATCTGTGCATAACCAAGGTGTTTCTCAGAATTGATAAAATAATTTCTCCTTATTTTGTAACAATGTACTATATTGTCTATTATTATTATTATAACCATTAATCACCTAAACTAATTTACCACCAATTTTTTCACAAACAGATTCTCACCTCAAATGTTTCCATATAGATGGGATCATAATGTATTCCATCATACATAACAATTACTCTGTAGTCATACCGCTTATCTTCGCCAAATCTGGAAATACAAAACATATGTAGCATACATGGGAGCATATTTTGATGATGTGAGTAGTAGGTCTGGTATATAGAAAGTAAATATAAGACTATTTTCTTACTAGTTCTTGTTCATGTTTATTTCCTCTTATCTCCATGGGAAAGTGGAACAGAATTCTTCCTCTGTAAGCCATGTGTGTTGTAAGAGGCGACTAAAATGCTGGGAGCAATGGGCTAGTAACCCCTTCTCTTGTATATACACTGTATTACTAAATTTAAAACAAGAAACTTTTGCTTTTCCTTTTGGGCCACCCTGCCTCGGTGGGATGCGGGTGGTTTGTTGAAAGAAGAATAATTAGATGTTGGGGAGCAAGGTGATAGTAACCCCTTCTCCTGTATAAATTACTAAATTTAAAAAGAAAAACTTTTGTTTTTCTTTTAACCCTTTCAGGGTTTCTGACATACTAGTATGGCTTACACACCAGGGTTATTGACGTACTAGTACGCCTAAATTCTAGCACCTTCAAATCTAGCAAGAGAAAGCTGGTAGGCATACATATGAAAGAATAGGTCTATGTGGTCAGTGTGCGCAGTATAAAAAAAAATCCTGCAGCACACAGTGCGTAATTAGAAAAAAAACTTTGACCATATTTTTGGTTTAAAACAGCGACTTTGCACTGCATTTTCATATGGTATTTATGGTTGTATTCTAGTTTCCCTGGTCTCAATTTATAGAATGGAAGACATATTACAGAAATTTAGATGATTTTGATTGATTTCACAATGAAAAGTACCTTGAAATTGACCTCAAAGTAGTAGAAATGTTCGATTTTTGTCAAGGTTCATAAGTAAACAAATCATGCCACGCGTCCAATACTAGAGAGTCTAATATTCTTTCACAAATGCGCTGATATTATTTATACCATTTCTACATTAATGCAGTAGTCTGTGTAACATTACATCTTCTATTTTTTGTGAGAATAAAAATTCAAAGTGGAAAGCAAAACAAATGTAAGAGGGGCCTGGGAACATGACTAATGAACATAGGAAATGTTATTTTAATGCCAGGAATGTCTGTCTTGTTTATTCTGGACCCTATTTGGAAATTGGCATCTTTTGAAATGTGTGAAATTGGCAAAATTGCTAATTTCTGACCACTTTATTGGATAGTTGACATCGGTAAATATGTGGTTTCTTGTACTCATTCGATAGAAAAAATGGAGTTCTAGCGAAATAGTTATGATTCTTGTCGACTAGTACACTGGAATTGGCCGAAAATAGGGCTCAAAGTGAGCGAAATTGCCGATGTGTAAACATCGTTGACACCGCTAACTTCACGTGAGCATAATTCCGTAAGTTTTCCATCAAATTTCATACTTTTGGTGTCATTATGATCGGGAAAAGATTCTTTATCTTTTCACAAGAAATCGTTTTTTGTTTTTTTTTCCGAAAAATTTTTGACCCTGAGAACAAGTTTAGGAGAGGGCCTCTCGACCCTGAAAGGGTTAAGGTCACCCTGGCTTGGTGGGATACGACTGGTTCATTGAAAAAAAAAAAATAGGTGTTGACAACCTGACTGAGCCTATTACAGCTGCCATAGGCCTGGAGCTTCATAAAATGTACAACACGGGAATTTGAGGTCAGGAGGATAAATTGGAGATTAAGAAGAGCAACAGATATTGTGAATGGGTTACTAAACATGATTAACTGGAAGTAATCATAAAAAAGTGAAATTTTGCTTGGGACAGTTCAAGGGAGTACTATACCCTTAGTCTATAAAATGACTGAAATACATCTATGGATGTACTGTGTACTGAAATTTGCTAGTGTTGTGATAATTTTTACCACTGATGCTATTGAATCTAGACAATATTTAACACTTAAGGAAACACTGCTATGTTCGGCACATGATGAGGTCTCTAGGAGCCACTGAACCTTTATAGTAACTTCGTAGATACTTTATTAGGATAACCAATTTTATTATTTCTTCACTGTTAATACTAACTTCCTATATATAACTTTATTTACGTGTTAATAACTAAACAGTTTTACCGTCATCATCATTTTCTGCGGGTTTACTTTATGTGTATTCACTATTATGTCATGTCCCATTTCTCTCATTAATTCTTTGTGCTTGATATGCATTCACTGCATACAATTGATGCGGCTTACAAAACATACCGAAGATTGTTATAATAGGAATTAAGTGTTAATGACTTGATTGAGCTTAGTACAGCTGCCATGGGACTGAAATACATTTAAAACACTGCATAAAATGAAAGCCATATCTCTATGCCAATCACTGAAGAAACTGAATACTGTATTCTAATTTTCATTATTAGCTAAAATTCAACCAGAAAGGTTCATTTAAGTACTCATCAAACTTTAGTGATTTTCAGAAAAACAACCAAAGAGTGTATTAATTATAATTAAAATTGTTACTATTGATTAAACTACACTCCTTTTCATGAATCATCAACACAAGGTAGGTTTCTTATTTAGATAGGCATTACATACACAGGAACAAAACTTATCCCCCCAAAAATCTCTAGCACTAGCCAAAAGTTTTGCATCTGTGAGTTAGCTAAGCTGCAAGTTAACTTTGATGTCCTATTATTATGTTGAGAATACGAAGTACAATGCCTGCACTCTAAAGGAGGGGTTCGGGATATTAGCAGTTTGGAGGGATATGTTGTGTATCTTTATAGGTATATGCTTCTAATCTGTTGTGTTCTGAGCACCTCTGCAAAAACAGTGATTATGTGTGAGTGAGGTGAAAGTGTTGAATGATGATGAAAGTATTTTCTTTTTGGGGATTTTCTTTCTTGTTTGGGTCACCCTGCCTCAGTGGGAGACAGCCGACTTGTTAAAAAAAAAAAAAAAAACATGAAAAAAATTACCCTGGATTATGGTGTGGTAGTAAGAAGCAGAAAAAAAAGCTTGCTGAGATGGTTTGCCTGGAGACAGTGCAAGACAGGCTGACCAAGAGGGGTGTATAAATCTGGAGTGGATGGAAGGTGGGGTAGGGAGGAATGTCCCATAAAGAGGTGGAAGTTTTATGGACAGGTAGGAGCTTGAGCATCTAGTAGGCATGTGTGAGCATGTAGTTTTTAGGAAGTGATGTGCTGTTGGAGGATGAGTTATGGAGGTGGGAAGCACATTGATTGCATTTTGAAGGATAGATGGGGATGTTATGGTCTGGTGAGTAATTCAATTATTATAATCAAAATTAAGCACTAAACCTACCAGGGTCATACAGCACTGTGTGGGTAATTCTGCAAAGACAGCTGAGTAAAGAGCAATGGTGAATATGTGTATCCTTCTCTGGGTCACCCTGCCATGGTGAGAAATGGCCATGTGTTAAAAAAGTATGTACTATTTACAGCCATGTTTCCAGATTCCTGGCTCATGTATTGTATTATGGTATCTTCAAATCACTGATATATACTGAAAGAGTTATAGTTCAACATTCAGTGTACAGCAAATATTTAACATGATCTGTCATGTTTATTTATGTACTTGTGTGTGAAAACCTTAATGGTCAACACATTCAAGAATTTTTGTCATTTACTTGTACACGTGCTTGCTCTATGGACTGCTTATCTTTTTTGAACACCTTGTATTACAGTAAGTAGTTAGAGGGAAGCTTGTTTACCAGATCTGTGTACATGCTATATGTTTATCAGATACTTATTTTTCCTACAAGTGACTGAAAATCTGGAAAAACTTAAACTGAAAACAAACCTTGTTGAACATTGCAGATCAGTTAAAAAAAAAAAGAAAAAGGGTCGATTTAAAAACAGTTCCAGACAAAAAAAATATTCAAGCTAAAGACATACCTTAAATACTCTATCTACCTTACATAATTGACACTATTATGATATATAATGCTATAATAATGCAACCCCTATATTCAACAAATATTAGTCAAAATGATGCATGTTAAAGATTTATAATGAAGCACTCATGTATGTCAAGGCAGCTTCTTGTGTAAATCTACTGAGGTTTTTACTCCTGAGAGGACAAGTAGCCATGTTAAAAGAGGTTTTTTAAACTTTTTTTCTACAAATTACAACTTACAATTGATTCAGGGATAGTTGACATTACTGGCACACTTATAGAAAGCAAGTATATAAGGGTCTAAAATATTACACTGCTCAAGTCTTGCATGTCAGTGGATTCAAAGTTGAACCTATGAAGAACCACTCACGATTATGATGCTTTAGTTTAGACAAGACCATTATTAAATCCCAAGTACAAAAGTCATGGCTTGATAATGAACCATGACAGACTGAAATGTACTGAGTCTCCTTTCCCAAGTTTGGGTTATCTGAGCATGGTTACACCTATGTTTGTCTTGGTAGAGGTCTAACACTGTAACATAGGGTCCCTAGATATACAAGGTAGAGCTGAAAATACTTGGTAGTGAACAAAAATATGCATGCTCCTTTAAGGTTTCTCAACACTGGAAGGCACTGGAAAATGTCTACAATGAGTCTATGCATATCCACTTCCACAAAGATAGGGAGTCTTCAGAAAGAACATGGTGTCGAAGATAAAGAGAAATGATGAAAATTTGTAATACTACATGAATGTAATAATTCAATGAGGTAACTAGGACTAAAACCTTTAGCCAGTATACCACAGAGGGTCATAAGATTTCCCCAGCCAGAACACAGGTGCTCCTCAACTTACGATGGGGTTACATTCTGACAAACCTTTCTGAAGTCGAAAATATCGTAAGTCACATATGAATATGATATGATAAATAAGTAAATAAATAACTACTGTCACTGAATAATTAAATAAGCAAATAATTAGTGTAACTAAATACCAGCATTGAAAATTAAATAAATGAATATAGGCTGAAGAACTGAGACACTTATGCAACATATGGGAATCTTTATTGAAGAAACGTTTTGCCACGCAGTGGCTTCATCAGTCTTATACAAAGCAGGAAGGTATAAGGAGAGGAGGAATTTGAGGTAATCAGTCCCTCAGCCTGGAGTCGATGTGTTCAGTCCATCAATCTTGTAGAATGAATATAAGATACGGACTTATTGCCTTCAGTAATGGTGACAAAGTAATTGTTTTTGCACTATTGTAAAATCAAAATATTGTATGTCATACCATCGTAAGTCGAGGAACACCTGTACTGTGTGATATACCTGCATGAGACAGACGGTAATGCTCTTAACTATGTTGCAGTGGCTACCTTAGGAATACAAACTTACCTATTCAAAACACCAGTCTTAGCATCTAAGGCAACAATTTCAATTTCATAATACTGGCTGAAGACAGACAGCTCTATGGCTCCTCCCCATGATGTATCTTTCACAATCCATTCACAATATTTACTGTTGGATCGTTCAAGTACTGCCTCATCATAAGCCTCAGGCTGGCTTCTTATCACAGATGCCACAAGCTGACGCATTTCCTGGATCTGTTTTGTGCCTATTATTTCACCACCTGAGAACAATATAAGAATCAGAACAGGATAATTACTGTGTTAATAATGAGAATTAATGTGAAATGCTAAACCTACACCTAGTTGTCCTATATTATATGCATAGTCAAAATAACATAGTGAAAAATAATAAGTATAATAAATATAAATCAGTAGGTCAGTAGACAGCAACCCCCCAGGGAGGTACTACTGTCCTGCCAAATGAGTGTGAAATGGATACTTGTAATTGTTTTACACAATGGTAGGATTGCTTATGTCTTTTTTTCTGTCTTTTTTTTTTGTCTCATAAACATGTAAGATGACAGGCACATCTTGCTACTTTTACTTATATTTATTTCATTCTACAAATGCAGTTGTGTATCTACATGTATGTGTATATATACTCATCTGAGTTTTCTTCTAATTTCTTAATGGTTCTTGTTTCTACATCGTTTCCTTTCATCTCTATGTGGAAGTGGGTGAGAATTCTTCTTTCGTAAAAGGTAACTAAAATGCCATAAGCAGCAGCAAGTAACCCCTTCTTCTGTATAATTCACTAAAATGACAAAGAAGAAAATTTTAATGGTTAGCTGTTTGCATGTGCATGGGTGCAGTATGGATGCGAAGAAAGAATTGCTTGTGAATGTTATCAGTGAAAAGAAGCTGAATGTCCTAGCTCTAAGTGAAATGAAGCAAAGGGGAGTAGGTGAATTTCAATGGGAAGATGTAAATGGGATTAGGGATGGTGCGTGAGGCAGTGGATAGAATGAAAGGAGGTAAAGCAACTGGGATAGATGGGATTAAGACAGAAATGATAAAAGCAAGTTGAGTTTGAAGGCAATGCGTGGTGTGAATACACCAAAAACAACATTTACTTCTGCTTTAGCATTAACATTCCCAAAAACAATTATTCCCTTCTATGGTTCACCATTCTCTAAACAACCTAACAGAAACTTTCTCTTCTCTACAATCCACTCACCTCCAGGCACATAAACACTGCCTGTTGCCCACTTATCATTTCCCTCTTTGATTCTAAATTACACAATACTTTTCACAACTATTCATTTAAAATTATCAGAACTCCTTTTCCTTCAGATCTCATTCTATCAGGAAGCAAATATATATGTACAAATGTATACGTACCTGAACTAATGAAAATAACTTCTTTCCATTTAAGCTCTCTTACTCCTTTTAACTTTTTTAACTTATTGTTAAGACAACCAACTTAATTTCCGTCATTAATAATCAATTCTTTCCTACATCTCTAGCACATCCTCATATAGTACAGCCAAACAATCCTATATCAAAAACAGCACTGTGGAGCAAACTGACAAACTTGCCAAACGTCACTTTCATGAAAATCGCCCATAAACTTTTGCAACATGTTTCCAACAATACTTTGGTAACCAATCTTGTAATTTTGATCAAACTGGGTCTCATTTTAATGAAAATTTAATGAGCTTTAAGTGGTATGGCAAGTTTGCTGGTTTTCTTAGGAGCCAAATCATTGTTTTCGGGCATGACTGCATGGTCAAATACCCCTTGATTCTCAATAGGAAAAAACAGGGTAAAAGTAACAAACTTGTAAATCTAAGATATGTACATGAAACTTGAAAGAATGAACATTTGGTATAGAAAGCACAATTTTTGCTCACTGGAGAGTTCGTTTGTTTTCTTCTTGGTGCATCGATTTCTTTTAACCTGGCAATCACATGTAGGAAAAAGAGTAATCATTCTTTTTCCTGGCATTCTATTCATTTATTTGGCACACTTGGTTAATGAGTAAGAATTCTAACCAACTTTCTGAAAATCTTGAGAACAGTGAGAATGAGATATGGATATGGAAGTAATTACAGTGGAACCTCGACTTACGAGTTTAATCCGTTCCATGACCTAGCTCGTAACTCAATTTACTTGTATACCAAATCAATTTTCCTCATTAAAATTAACTGAAAAGCCATTAATCCATTCCTGCTCTCTGGAGAGAAGACAAAATACTTGAATATGATGCTAATATTAACTGTACGGCTTATTTATCTATCACAATTCATCAAATATGACATAATAAACAATATAATTAACACAGAGACATGATATATACTGTATCTGAAAACATTCAATTCTTCCATACTCCTCCTCCCCAATTTGATATCCAATTTTTCTTTATCTAAATCATTTGATACCCTCATCACCTTATTCTTTTCTGTGTTCACTTTCAACTTTCTACCTTTACACACACTCCCAAACTTGTCCACTAACCTTTGCAATTATTCTTTAGTATCTCCCATAGCACAGTATCATCAGGAAAAAGCAACTGTGTCAATTCACATTTTGTATTTGATTCACCATAATTTAATCCCACCCCTCTCCCGAACACCCTAGCATTTACTTCTTTTACAACCCCATCTATAAATACATTAAACAACCACGGTGACATTACACATCCCTGTCTAAGACCTACTTTTACCGGGAAGTAGTCTCCCTCTCTTCTACACACCCTAACCTGAGCCTCACTATCCTCATAAAAACTCTTTACAGCATTTAATAACTTACCACCTATTCCATATAGTACTTACAACATCTGCCACATTGTTCCCCTATCCACTCTATCATATGCCTTTTCTAAATCCATAAATGCAATAAAAACTTCCCTACCTTTATCTAAATACTGTTCACATATATGCTTCAATGTAAACACTTGATCTACACATCTCCTACCCACTCTGAAACCTCCTTGCTCATCCGCAATTCTACATTCTGTCTTACCTCTAATTCTTTCAATTATAACCCTACCGTACACTTTTCCTGGTATACTCAGTAAACTTATTCCTCTATAATTTTTACAATCTCTTTTGTCCCCTTTCCCTTTATATAAAGGGACTATACATGCTCTCTGCCAATCCCTAGATACCTTCCCCTCTTTCATGCATTTATTAAACAAAAGTACCAACCACTCCAACACTATATCCCCCCCTGCTTTTAACATTTCTGTCATGATCCCATCAGTTCCAGCATAAAATATGTATTACTTATTAAAATATGTATTACTTATTAAAATATGTATTACTTATTACCAAATCTCTTTCTACACATAGCTCAATTAAAGGCTCCCCATTTACATTTACCCTGGCACCCCAAATTTACCTACTACTCCCTCCATAACATTTATTATTATCATTATTAATTTAGGGAACTGGAACACAGATCCAATTCCCTAGATCAGGAGCCCCTCACCAGGGTCAAGGAACCTTGACGCTGGTGAGCGGCTCCTGATCTAGGGAATTGGATCTGTGCTCTAGTTACCTAAATTAATAATAATAATAATTATAGATAGTAGGTTGGTAGACAGCAACCACCCAGGGAGGTACTACCGTCCTGCCAAGTGAGTGTAAAATGGAAACCTGTAATTGTTTTACATGATGGTAGGATTGCTGGTGTCCATTTTTCTGTCTCATAAACATGCAAGGTTTCAGGTATGTCTTGCTACTTCTACTTACACTTAGGTCACACTACACATACATGTACAAGCATATATATACACACCCCTCTGGGTTTTCTTCTATTTTCTTTCTAGTTCTTATTCTTGTTTATTTCCTCTAATCTCCATGGGGAAGTGGAACAGAATTCTTCCTCCGTAAGCCATGCGTGTTGTAAGAGGCGACTAAAATGCCGGGAGCAAGGGGCTAGTAACCTCTTCTCCTGTATATATTACTAAATGTAAAAGGAGAAACTTTCGTTTTTCCTTTTGGGCCACCCCACCTCGGTGGGATACGGCTGGTGTGTTGAAAGAAAGAAAGAATAATAATAATTATAGGTAGTAGGTTGGTAGACAGCAACCACCCAGGGAGGTACTACCGTCCTGCCAAGTGAATGTAATTGTTTTACATGATGGTAGGATTGCTGGTGTCCTTTTTTCTGTCTCATAAACATGCAAGATTTCAGGTATGTCTTGCTACTTCTACTTACACTTAGGTCACACTACACATACATGTACAAGCATATACAGTGGACCCCCGGTTAACGATATTTTTTCACTCCAGAAGTATGTTCAGGTGCCAGTACTGACCGAATTTGTTCCCATAAGGAATATTGTGAAGTAGATTAGTCCATTTCAGACCCCCAAACATACACGTATAAATGCACTTACATAAATACACTTACATAATTGGTCGCATTCGGAGGTGATCGTTATGCGGGGGTCCACTGTATATACACACACCCCTCTGGGTATTCTTCTATTTTCTTTCTAGCTCTTATTCTTGTTTATTTCCTCTTATCTCCATGGCTAAGTGGAACAGAATTCTTCCTCCGTTAGCCATGCGTGTTGTAAGAGGCGACTAAAATGCCGGGAGCAAGGGGCTAGTAACCCCTTCTCCCGTATAAATTACTAAATTTAAAAAGAGAAACTTTTTTCTTTTTGGGCCACCCTGCCTCGATGGGATACGGCCGGTGTGTTGAAAGAAGAAAGAATAATAATAATTATTATTCTTTCTTTCTTTCAATACACCGGCCATATCCCACCGAGGTGGGGTGGCCCAAAAGGAAAAACGAAAGTTTCTCCTTTTACATTTAGTAATATATACAGGAGAAGGGGTTACTAGCCCCTTGCTCCCGGTATTTTAGTCGCCTCTTACAACACGCATGGCTTATGGAGGAAGAATTCTGTTCCACTTCCCCATGGAGGTAAGAGGAAATAAACAAGAACTAGAAAGAAAATAGAAGAAAACCCAGAGGGGTGTGTGTATATATATGCTTGTACATGTATGTGTAGTGTGACCTAAGTGCAGGTAGAAGTAGCAAGACGTACCTGAAATCTTGCATGTTTATGAGACAGACAAAAGACACCAGCAATCCTACCATCATGTAAAACAATTACAGGCTTTCATTGTACACTCAGTTGGCAGGACGGTAGTACCTAACTGGGCAGTTGCTGTTTACCAACCTACTACCTAGGAATAATTATTATTACTATTATTATTATTATAATAATAAATGCTGCCAACTCAGTGCACTGTTTACCTGGCTGTGGGAGCAGTTCTCTCATGCTTTGCTTACATTTTTGACAATCATTTGGCCAAATTTTGTTTTTCTAAGCATTGGTCCTAAGAAAGTAAGTGTAAAGGACAGTGCTGAGAAGAAAAAGAGAATGATTTCCATGGAATTAAAGCATGAAATCATAGATAAACAAGCGAGGTGTTCAGATTTTGGGTTGAGTTCCCGGGGAAGCAGGGGGAGCTGGCTCGTAACTCAAATGTTGGCTCATAACTCAGAGCAAAAAAATCGACCCAGGTTCATATCTCAAAAAACTTGTACGTTGGGACACTTGTAAGTAAAGGTTCCACTGTATAAGCAAAAAAAAAACACTCTAAATCCATATAAATACAGTAAGAAATCTATATGTTATACTGTACTGGCAAACTTCAAAATAGCTTTCAAGTGCTGTAGAGAACTGTATGTATGTATTATTCACAATATATGTTAGATCTCAATTAGAATAAAGCATGTTAAGTAAAAGGACACAAATGCAGCTAATGTGACATTTTACTGTGGCAATGTTTCACTCTCAAGGAGCTTTGTCAAGCTCCTGGAGAGTGAAACGTTGCCACAATAAAATGTCACATTAGTTGCATTTGTGTCCTTTTACTTAACATATTGTTGGTAATTCTACCAATATTAATACAGAATAACGCATGCAGCTGAAGCGTTGTCTCCTCACAAAAAAAAGATCAGAGGACATGTTACATAACGACTTGTTCAAGAGAAGTAGTACAAAGAAACACTGAAAATTATGAAAAGTACTAAATTTTGTTGATAGAAGGAAAAGATAAAATGTGATAACTATATTTAGGTGAAGAAAAGAATGAGAGAAAGGAGACGAGGAATATTTATGACATGGGCATTGATTTTAATGCTGCCAGAGTTTGTAGAGACCTAGCACTGCTAGACGTGTCAGCCCACTTTTTAATTTGCTTATTTGTCAGTACACGTACATGCATAACAGATCAGATTTTACATGTTTATATAACATAGCTTACCTAACCCATTCTACAATAAAACCTTTCCCTCTGCAGGAAACATTCAGAAATTTATGCTAAATTTACCTAAACTTTGTAAAATGATAAGGGGTTGCATCAACAGAAGCACAAGAAGGCACCACTGTAAACTAAAAAGAAAAAGTGCCAAAATGCACTGTAAGGTATTTCTTCACAATGAGAGGTAGACTGTTAGAATGATAAAATGTGTAGTAGGATGCAGAGTACTATAAACACTGGAAACTTTACCATTAATAAGACCATAAATATATACACTATTGAAGATGGGACTCGGTGAACATTGCTCTGCTTCTGTAGCAATATATGTGCCAATGCATGGAGAAAAATACTCTGATGCTAAAACAAACTTGTCTTACCATTTATTAGATAATAGACACTTGCGAAGAGACAAGAGTTGTCAGAGGGAACAACTCTCTTAAGAAGGATGCCTTTCTGTCTCATTATGGAAGGCAGTTGTGAATTCTTGATGCCTGGTGATGAAATTCTCTTATCAGTCGAAGGTGTTGTTTGTAGCTTTACTTCTTGTGGTATACATGTCTGAAATATGGGATATAATTCTATTTTTTTTATTTTTATTAACATATCGACGGTCTCCCACCAAGGCAGGTAGGCCTGAAAAATAAAAACTTTCACCATCATTCACTCCATTACTGTCTTGCCAGAGGTGAGCTTACACTACAGTTATAAAACTGCAACATTAAACCCCTCCTTCAGAGTGCAGGCATCTTATTAGAACCCAATGAAATTATAAGACCTCTGTGATTACACAGTCCTCAAGACATTTCTAAGGTGATTAGTGTTTATGGAGGTGGAAACTATAATGCCTGCACTAAATTTAAAGGAGGGGTTTGGGATATTGGCTGTTTGGAGTGACATCTAAACTGTCATACATGGGCACCTCTGCAAAAATAGTGATTACCTGTAATAATGGTAAAAGAGTTGAATGATGGTGAAAGTGTTTCTTTCTTTTTTGGGTCACCCTGCTTCAGCAGGAGATGGCCGATGCATTGAAAAAAAATTACCAAAAAATAATAATCACAATATTGTGGTTGGAACAGTTTGCCACTCATCAGCACACATAAGCCTACCCAATTAAGCTGTTATATATTCATGCCTCCATGCATAAAGCAAGAACTGTCTTCATAAATGAGAAGAATAAGTCACAGGTGTAACAGTTAGGCATCTTCATTTCTGAAATGTTTTGCTGATACAGTATATTTCTAAAGATTTGTAAAGATTTTGTAAAGTTCCTCCTGAAAACCACTCTATCATGTGTGTATGTGCTTGTATATATACTCATTGATTTATCTTGGTGTATTTGAAGCAAGGTTTAGTTTTAATACGAATGTTCAATTTCCCATTTGAAAACCAAAAATTTTATTACACTCTGAAGGTAAAATCATTTTTGCTACTTTACCATGCCACTTGATGAATCAACTTCTTCAACTATTAGCACTTCTCCATTCCGGATTCCTATGCTATTCAAAGTCGTGTCAGGATTCCCAGTAATTGGTTTTGGTGGAAATCCTGCAATGAACAATGAATAGTGAAGAGATCATTCTCCTTACTGCAGCACATCCATGATCATACAATGCAGTAAACAACCAGAACATGCAGAATTTATTAATATTTACAAAATAACAATAATCTTCATTGTGTGTAATTCAAGAAAAAAAGAGTGTCTACATAATTTGTCAATGTTCTACAGCATTTCAAATTCAACCAGACAAGTTTATGATTCTTCAGAGTACAATGTTCTTGAGTCTAGGAGTACAAACATCTAACAAAACTTTTATGAGCAGTTTAGATCAAAGTCAAATGGAGGAGAGTGATTTTTGTGACTTGACATGCTGTTGGAATGTGAGCAAGGTAACATTTATTAAGAGATTCAGAGAAACCAGTTAGCCGGAGTCGAGTCCAGCCAACTTAATAAGTGCCAGATTGGAGGGAGAGAATTTAGAGGAGTAAATGTATTCACATATCTGGGATATTTGTAAGCTTTCAGAGATGAAGTAAAGAGATGAAGTAAACTAGAGAGTAGATGATGGGAAAAAGTTGGGTATTATGTTGAGACATCTGTGGAGACAAAGAATTTTATAACTGAATGAAAAGGGTGAATGTAACAGAGTGTAGTGTACCAACATTGTTATATGGGTGTAAAGCATGTAATTTTAATGTTGCAGCAAGGAGGAGGCTGGAGCCAGCAGAGACGTCATGCTTGAGCTTAATGTGTAGTGTAAATATAATGCAAAAAAATTTGTAGACTGGAGATTAGAAGATGATGTAGGATTACTAAAAGAGAACTGAGGAGAGGTTATTGATGTAGTTTGGGCATTCAGAGGATGGCGCAGAATACTAAGGCAGGAGCGTAGTGGGTAACCCAAGAAGGGTTGGAGGGGATGAAGGAGGACTGGAGTGCTAGGGGCCTACACATCCAACAGGCATGTGTGAGTGCTTTAGATCAGAGTGGAGACAAGTAGTTTTTTCTGACTTGCTGTGGTGCTGGCATGCAAGTCAGGGAAACTGGTTAGCCAGACTTGAGTCCTGGAAGTGGGAAGCACACTGCTAGCACTGAATGAAGGGTGACGATGTTGCAGTTAGGAGGACCACCTAAATTGTGATGTGATGTTAGTGAACTTTTGGCAAGACAACAACAGAGTGAATGGCAGTGAATATTTCCTCTTTATTTCTGAGGAAAAGGGGGAAAGGGGGGGGGGTCACCCTACCTTGGTGGAAGACGGCCAGCAGACACACATTTCAATATCATGAAAACAGGTAAAAATTACTGATAAGTCATTGCTTTGAAATTATGGGTAAAAATATACAACTCTTTGGCCTGACATCACCCAGTTTCCACCAGTCCAAAGGCAATGGGTTTATCCTCAGTCAGTGTGTGCTAAAAGTGACAGTGGATTGTATCTGAGGAAACAATGTTCTTTGTGGATTATCTATCATCAGTATTTCATTTATAAACATTGCAAGGTAAGTTTATTTACCATTCATAATAAGAGATATTATTATTATTATAATCAAAAAGAAGCGCTAAGCCACAAGGACTATACAGCATAATAAGAGATAGAATAGGTAATTTTAATAACTGTTTGTTAAGAGTTCTTGCTGAATTAGTGTAATTATTTTTGCCATACTGTGATTTCTTGAATTAATAAATGAATAAATATGTATAATTTAAAACCAATGTGTTATTTTTAATCAAACATTTTTGGTATGGCTGTAAATCATTTAAACCCACAGATTAGAATGAAACCATTAAATTGCTAAATTTATGAAAAGCAGCCTCACCTGTTAAAATTTTTTGCCTGTGTGGAACAATTGCTGTCACATCTTGGATAGCTGAGAGAAGGTCAAGTAAGGTACTTTCTCCACTAACTCTCTCTGTTATGGGATACTGCCCACCAGAACTGGTTTTCACACGCAAACGAAGCATTGTCGACTCCTGAAATAATAAACATTATCATATAGTATCTGCTAGTGGAAACTTAATAGCCTTTTTCCAGTGTTGCACACACTGCAATAAAAAGAAGGGAGCAGGTGACCAGTAATGGCTAATGTGGTGGAGTGAGGAGATTGTTTTGCCATGACTGTAACAATAATATACCATTCTGTAACCATGGAATTTTGTCATTTCAGAATCAACTGACCCAGAAGATTTTTGTCCCTTATTTTAGAAGTTGGTTAAATCAAAGTCCATTAAATTGAGAGCTTATACACCATACATAAATTAATTAATGTATTTTTCATTAATAAGTAAATTACCAGCAAGTGCATGATTTTATTCAAATAAAGAAGATAAAATGATGCAAAACAATCTGATTAATGTACCTTAAAAAAAAGTTGAAAACCCTTACAGCCTTAAAGATCTATTAATTAAACACAAAGTGAATAAAAATAGAGGGAATAATAACGTCATTTTCCCAATGATACCAAAATAAAATTTCCACTGGAAAGCAAAAAGTCCTGTAAATAGTACTGCATCATATGTATATTTATGTAAAATTACAAAAACTGCAATTATGAAAGATGGGAAAAAATTTTTACCTGCCTTCTTTACAAACTGTACAAGGTCTTCTTAAATGCACACCACCAGATGTGAAGTTCTTATTTAAAATTTCCGTAGTTTACATTAGACTTTCTTCTTGCAATAATTTAGCATAAAATATAATGATTTGTGGTGACCTGGGAGCTTTGAGCACTTATTGTGATGTCCTAGAAGCTATGAGTATATGTTGTGATGTTCTAGGTCTGGTTACTCGTTGTGATGTCCTAGAACACTCGCTGTGATGTCCTACAGCACTCGCTGTGATGTCCTAGAACACTCGCTGTGATGTCTTAGAACACTCGTTGTGATGTCCTAGAACACTAGCTGTGATGTCCTAGAACACTTGCTGTGATGTCCTGGAACACTCGTTGTGATGTCCTAGAAGTTTTGAGTACTCGTTGAGATGTGCTAGAACACTCACTGTGATGTCCTAGAACACTTGCTGTGATGTCCTGGAACACTCATTGTGATGTCCTAGAAGTTTTGAGTACTCGTTGAGATGTCCTAGAACACTCGCTGTGATGTCCTAGAACACTCGTTGTTATGTCCTAGAACACTCACTGTGATGTCCTAGAACACTCGTTGTGATGTCCTAGAACACTCGTTGTGGTGTCTTAGAGCACTCGTTGTGATGTCCTGGAACACTCGTTGTGATGTCCTGGAACACTCGTTGTGATGTCCTGGAACACTCGTTGTGATGTCCTGGAACACTCGCTGTGATGTCCTGGAACACTCGTTGTGATGTCCTGGAACACTCGTTGTCCTAGAACACTTGTTGTGATGTCCTAGAACACTCGTTGTGATGTCCTAGAACACTCGTCGTGATGTCCTAGAACACTCGTTATGAAGTCCTAGAACACTCGTTCTGATGTCCTAGAACACTCGTTCTGATGTCCTAGAACACTCGTTGACCTAGAACACTCGTCGTGATATCCTAGAACACTCGTTATGTCCTGGAACACTCGTCGTTATGTCCTAGAACACTCGTCGTGATATCCTACAACACTCGTTGTGATATCCTACAACACTCGTTGTGATATCCTAGAACACTCCTTATGTGCTAGAACACTCGTTGTGATATCCTAGAACACTCGTTATGTGCTAGAACACTCGTTGTGATATCCTACAACACTCGTTGTGGTGTCTTGATAGCTCTTGATACCTGTTGTGTTATTCTGGGGCCTTTTATTAGCAGCTGCTATGACCTGGATGATCCAGATGCGTGCTATAATGACCTAGAAGTCCTAAACATTCGCTGTGATGACCTGAAAACTCTCAACACTCAGTATAATGACCTATATTATTGTTGTTGCTTTTGGGGGTTTGAGGGCTAGCAAATCTTTTTTTTTTTTTTTCTAGCCTTTCTTCCTATTTTTTGGGAAAGAAATGATGCCCAAACTAGAGCAGGAACTGGGTAGGGAACAGGAGACCATAACCTAACCTTATCTAACTGGGAAGAAAAAGTTTGCAATTAGGTGGAGCCTGACGCCCAAGTGAGTCAGCAACAGGCTTCTCCCAGGCATTAGAGTTCCACAGAGCTGGTAAGTTTATTTAGGTACAGTTGTTATACGTAAGATAAGATAAGATAAGATTTCGTTCGGATTTTTAACCCCGGAGGGTTAGCCACCCAGGATAACCCAAGAAAGTCAGTGCGTCATCGAGGACTGTCTAACTTATTTCCATTGGGGTCCTTAATCTTGTCCCCCAGGATGCGACCCACACCAGTCGACTAACACCCAGGTACCTATTTGCTGCTAGGTGAACAGGACAACAGGTGTAAGGAAACGTGTCGAAATGCTTCCACCCGCCGGGAATCGAACCCGGGCCCTCCGTGTGTGAAGCGGGAGCTTTAGCCACCAGGCCACCGGGCCACCACATGCTTAACAATTTGCAAATAGGCGAAATTATTTACAAACATTATCTCTCAGTCCACAGCAGGTGTTTTCGGTTATGGGTTTAAGGAGATCTGCCTGGTGTGGGCCGCCTCGCATGCTGCAGTGCTCATATAACTGTGCTCACCTAACTGTGGTTGCAGGCGTCGAGACTCAGCTCCTGGCCCCGCCTCTTCACTGATCGCTACTAGGTCCTCTCTATCTCTCTGCTTCCAGAGCTTTGTCATACCTTGTCTTAAAGCTATGTATGGTTCATGCCTCCACTACATCACTTGCTAGGCTATTCCACTTCCTGACGACACTATGACTGAAGAAATACTTCCTAACATCCCTGTGACTCGTCTGTCTTCAGCTTCCAGTTGTGACCCCTTGTTTCTATGTCCACTCTCTGGAACAACCTGTCTCTGTCTACCTTATCTATTTCACGCAGTATTTTGTATGTTGTTATCATGTCTCCCCTGACCCGCCTGTCCTCCAATGTTGTCAGTCCGATTTCCCTCAACCATTCTTCGTAGGACATACCCCTGAGCTCCGGAACTAGTCTTGTTGCAAACCTTTGCACTTTCTCTAATTTCTTGACGTGCTTGACCAGGTGTGGGTTCCAAACTGGAGCTGCATACTCCAGTATGGGTCTGACGTACACAGTGTACAGTGTCTTCAACGATTTCTTACTAAGGTATCGGAACGCTATTCTCAGGTTTGCCAGGCTCCCATATGCTGCAGCAGTTATCTGGTTGATGTGTGCCTCCGGAGACATGCTCGGTGTTATGGTCACCCCAAGATCTTTCTCCATGAGTGAGGTTTGCAGTCCTTGGCCACCTAGTCTATACTCTGTCTGCGGTTTTCTTTGCCCTTCTCCGATCTTCATGACTTTGCATTTGGCAGGGTTGAATTCAAGAAGCCAGTTGCCGGACCACGTGTCCAGCCTGTCCAGGTCTCTTTGAAGTCCTGCCTGATCCTCATCTGATTTAATTCTCCTCATTAACTTCACATCATCTGCGAACAGGGACACATCTGAGTCTATCCCTTCCATCATGTCATTCACATATACCAGAAATAGCACTGGTCCTAGGACCGACCCCTGTGGGAACCCGTTCGTCACAGGTGCCCACTGTGATACCTCATCCCGTACCATGACTCGTTGTTGCCTCTCTGTCAGATATTCCCTAAACCATTGCAGTGCTCTTCCTGTTATACACACCTGATCCTCTAGTTTCTGCACTAGTCGCTTGTGAGGAACTGTGTCGAAGGCCTTCTTGCAGTCCAAGTGTGTGTGTGTGTGTACTCACCTAGTTGTACTCACCTAGTTGAGGTTGCAGGGGTCAAGTCCTAGCTCCTGGCCCCGCCTCTTCACTGGTCGCTACTAGGTCACTCTCCCTGAACCGTGAGCGTTATCATACCTCTGCTTAAAGCTATGTATGGATCTTGCCTCCACTACATCGCTTCCCAAACTATTCCACTTCCTGACAACTCTGTGGCTGAAGAAATACTTCCTAACATCCCTGTGATTCATCTGTGTCTTCAGCTTCCATCTGTGCCCCCTTGTTGCTGTGTCCCATGTCTGGAACATCCTGTCTTTGTCCTCCTTGTCAATCCCTCTCAGTATTTTGTATGTCGTTATCATGTCCTCCCTATCTCTCCTTTCCTCCAGTGTCGTCAGGTCGATTTCCCTTAACTTCTCCTCGTAGGACATACCCGTTAGCTCTGGGACTAATCTTGTTGCAAACCTTTACACTTTCTCTAGTTTCTTTGCGTGCTTGGCTAGGTGTGGGTTCCAAACTGATGCCGCATACTCCAATATGGGCCTAACGTACACGGTGTACAGGGTCCTGAACGATTCCTTACCAAGATGTCGGAATGCTGTTCTGAGGTTTGCTAGGCGCCCATATGCTGCAGCAGTTATTTGGTTGATGTACTCACCTATTTGTACTCACCTATTTGTGGTTGCAGGGTCATAGGAGATGTGCCTGGTGTTATACTCACCCCAAGATCTTTTTCCTTGAGTGAGGTTTGTAGTCTCTGGCCCCCTAGACTTACTCCGTCTGCAGTCTTCTTTGCCCTTTCGCAATATTTATGACTGTTTACTTAGTAGGGTTGAACTCCAGGAGCCAATTGCTGGACCAGGTCTGCAGCCTGTCCAGATCCCTTTGTACTTCTGCCTGGTCCTCGATTGAATGAATTCTTCTCATCAACTTCACATCATCTGTAAACAGGGACACTTCAGAGTCTGTTCCTTCCGTCATGTCGTTCACAAATACCAGAAACATCACTGGTCCTAGGCCAGGTCCTGGTCATAGGCGCCCACTCTGACACCTCGCCACGTACCATGACTTCCTGCTGTCTTCCTGACAAGTATTCCCTGATCCATTGCAGTGCCTTCCCTGTTATCCCTGCTTGGTCCTCCAGTTTTTGCGCTAATCTCTTGTGTGAAACTGTGTCAAACGTCTTCTTGCAGCCCAAGAAAATGCAATCCACCCACCCTTCTCTCTTGTCTTACTGCTTTCACCCTGTCATAGAACTCCAGTAGGTTTGTGACACAGGATTTCCCATCCCTGAAATCATGTTGGCTGCTGTTGATGAGATCATTCCTTTCTACGTGTTCCACCACTCTTCTGATAATCTTCTCCATGACTTTGCATACTATACATGTCAGTGACACTGGTCTGTAGTTTAGTGCTTCATGTCTGTCTCCTTTCTTAAAAATTGGGACTACATTTGCTGTCTTCCATGCTTCAGGCGATCTCCCTGTTTCGATAGATGTATTGAATATTGTTGTTAGGGGTACACAAAGCACCTCTGCTCCCTCTCTCAGGACCCATGGAGAGATGTTATCCAGCCCCATTGCCTTTGAGGTATCCAGTTCACTCAGAAGCCTCTTCATTTCTTCCTCGGTTGTGTGTACTGTGTCTAGCACTTGGTGGTGTGCCCCACCTCTCCGGCTTTCTGGAGCCCCTTCTGTCTCCTCTGTGAACACTTCTTTGAATCTCTTGTTGAGTTCCTCACATACTTCACAGTCATTTCTTGTTGTCCCTCTTCCTTCCTTAGCCTGATTACCTGGTCCTTGACTGTTGTTTTCCTCCTGATGTGGCTGTATAACAGCTTCGGGTCAGATTTGGCTTTCGCTACTATGTCGTTTTCATATTATCGTTTGGCCTCCCTTCTTATCTGTGCATATTCATTTCTGGCTCTATGACTGCTCTCCTTATTCTCCTGGGTCCTTTGCCTTCCATACTTCTTCCATTCCCTAACACACTTGGTTTTTGCCCCCCTGCACCTTTGGGTGAACCATGGGCTCATCCTGGCTTTTTCATTATTCCTGTTACCCTTGGGTACAAACCTCTCCTCAGCCTCCTTGCACATTGTTATTACATATTCCATCATCTTATTAACTGGCTTCCCTGCCAGTTCTGTGTCCCACTGAACCCCGTTCAGGAAGTTCCTCATTCCCGTATAGTCCCCTTTGTTGTAGTTTGGCTTCATTCACTCTGGTCTTCCTGCTTTCCCCTCCACTTGTAGTTCTACTGTTTATTTGAAGCTTAAAACCACATGATCACTGACCCCAAGGGGTCTTTCATATGTGATGCCCTCAATATCTGCACTACTCAAGGTGAATACTAGGTCCAGTGTTGCTAGTTCATCCTCTCCTCTCTCTCTTGTAGTGTCCCTTGCGTGTTTGTACATGAAGTTTTCCAGTACTACCTCCACCATCTTAGCCCTCCATGTGTCTTGGCCCCCCATGTGGCTCCAAGTTCTCCCAATCGATTTCCTTGTGATTAAAATCACCCATGATCAGTAGCTTTGCCCTGCATACATGAGCCCTTCTGGCCACTGCAGCCAGTGTGTCAACCATCATTCTATTGCTCTCATCATATTCGTGCCTTGTCCTCCTGCTGTTCTGTGGTGGGTTACACATCACTGCAATTACCCCTTTGGGACCTCCAGAGTGAAGCGTTCACGCTATGTAATCACTTGCTTCTCCGTTGTCTCCTCTCTCCAGCTCATCAAAATTCCATCAGTTTTTGATCAGCAGTGCCACTCCTCCACCCCCCTGTTCCCTCTATCTTTCCTCAGGATCTGGTATACCGTTGGAAAGATGGCATCTGATATCATACCTGTAAGCTTGGTTTCTGTGAGACCTATGATGTCCGGTGATGCTTCTTTGACTCTTTTGTGCCACTCCTCCCACTTATTTGTTATTCCATCAGCGTTTGTGTACCATACCTTCAGTTTCCTCTCCAACACTGGTTTGGGGGGCCTGTGAGGGTGGGAGACCTGGTAGCATACTGTGGGATTCTATAGCTGGGTGTTGGGTGGAAGCTGTGAGTATGGATTGTAGTTTGTGTTGGGATGGTGTGATAGGGTGTGGGGTTCTGGGAATGGTTCTGTGTGTGCTTGCCCTTGTTGGTCTGTCCTGCTCT